GGTTACTTCTAATGCAAAAGCTGCTTTCAATCATGAACTCTCTCCATGGAAAACATAAGTCAAATAACTGCACGCCACCAGTAAAGAAGTAAAATGTGCTGCTCCAAAACCCATCAGGCAGCAGCTTTCAATAAGGAAAGAGGACCTAGAAAGCAGGCTTGCCTGATCCTGTTTGTTTCAAAAGCTGACTACACTGAGGACGAGGCAGCAAGCACCATGTCTGCTGCTGGGGCTGGTGTGGCTTCAGGATCAGTTCCCAGGCAGCAAGCCTTAAGAACTGCCTCTGGACTGCAGGACTGCAGATAGGATAACAAGCTTGTTGCTAGCCACAGCAATGCAGCTTGTCAAGGAGGAACATCAGAGCCATGAGGGAAAGCAGAAACTAAGCTACACTGAGTGTAGCTATTAATAGGGAGAAAACTTCCTAACCAGTGTGTTACCAGGCAGTGACGATTTCAGAAAGGTTTTTCTTCTCTACTTATTACCACCAAGCTGTTAAAATACTCCTCCTGCTTCTGAATCTTCCCTAACAGCTATGTGAATAAGGAGGCTCAGGGGAGACATTACTGCTCTCTGTAACTACCTGAAGGAAGGTTGTAGTGAGCTGGGGGTCAGTCTCTTCTCTCTATAATTGGTGATAGGACTAGAGGGAATGGCTTCAAGCTGCGCCAGGGGAGATCTAGGCTGGACGTTAGGAAATACTACTTTTCTGAAAGAGTGGTCAGGCACTGGAATGGGCTGCCCAGGGAGGTGGTGGAGTCACCGACCCTGGAGGTGTTCAAGGAATGTTTGGATTTTGTGTTGAGGGATATTGTTTAGTGAGAACTATTGATGATAGGTGGATGGTTGGACTAGATGATCTTGTAGGTCTTTTCCAACCTTGGTGTTTCTGTGATTCTGTGATTAAATGCTGCTGCTCTTGCAGGTGCTACTGAACTTCACTTTACTGCTGCCTGTAGCACTGAGCTGTGTGAAGCTGCGGCCCAACAGGCAGAGCTTTGCCAGGCCCGCCTCTCTCTGAAGTACTGATATTTAAGAGTGTGAGTTTAAACTAAAAAAATCTTCCCTGAGTTAAAAATAAAACTAATGGTTGTTTTGACTGTTTTGTAGCAAGAGGAAGCCACGTAAATAACACTGGACTCTAAACAGATGTCAGTGTTCGAAGTGGACTCTGTTTCTGAAAACCAGAGATGCAAGCACCAAACAGGCAAAATTTCTTTTAACTCTGAAATGAGACTTGCATAGCAGAAGGGTCTTTTACTCTTCCTTTCCAGTTTGTACAGGCTTCCAGATTCATCAGTACAAGAGAGGCATGCTAGGCAATGTGGCCCCTGCACCTGACCCCAGACAGGCAGTCCTCCTGACGTTGGAACATGTGATGTGGGGATGAGAAGGCAGCCTGAGGGCAGGCAGGTAGCAGACTTACTCTCTGCTCTCCTGTTCAGCACTGACCTAGTCACCCCATTGCCTTTTTTTAACCACTCAAGCTGCCTTCTCTTTCCCTATCCCAGTCCTTGCTCCTTACCCTGACCACCTGCCGCGTGCTCGTGATGAAGGATTTTCTGATACCCAGCTCCGTGGCATCCAGGTTGAATTTCCGAGGGTTTGCTTCAACAATGCTTAGAGGAGGAGTCAAGGAGTCTGTGAGTGGTGTTCAGTGCACACAGATAGACAAACTGCCCTGATGGGAGCCCATGAAGAGGCACTTTTCCACTGTGCTGCACCTTTTCCTATAATTTGATTAGCAAAACGCTAGATGCTGGAGGAATGAAAGCATGGCAGCAACATTCAACACAGTACATGCACCAGAATGAGGTTTCTCTCCTGCTTTTTTTTTTTTTTTTTTCTTTTCAGTTCTCCAGTGCTGCGCAGTGCTTTCAGCTGAACACGAGGGAAAAGGAATAATTTTGGAAGCCAGCCTGGAGTATGAGTGACTACACAGAAATCCAAATTCATACAACACAACAGGCTTCTAAGAACAAAGCATCTTATAATATACCTCGTCAAAGGGGAAACAAAAGGCAGAGGGAAATTCTCTTGCTGAACTCATTTGCTGTTTGAGAAAAGCTGAGGTAAATGCAAAATTCAATCCCTGATAGTCCTGGTTTCTGCAAAAATTAGCTACCAGCAAGAGCTGCTACGTAGCTATTTCTTACAGCTTAGGAACTGCATGCCTCAACCTCCAAAGAACTCCAGAAAGGATATTAATTGTTTCATCCAAGTCTTCCAGGTCCCACTCAATGCTCCGCAGATTGTTCCTGAGCTCATTAGTGGTCCAGTCGATTTCTTCTCTTGTGGCAATGGAAGGATCCTGCAAGAGCTCTGTCCACCTCTGGAAGAGTCCCTGGGCAGTGTTCACAGCTTTCTGCACTTCCCTGCGGTTGGGGTGAAGAAAGAAAAGTGAAGGGACTGCATCAGCTGTTCTGCAGCAGTCGTGCTGGGACACGCCGTGCCCAGAAGAGCTTGAAACTGCAGCCTCCCTGCAAGTGCCTTTCCTTCAACCACTTCTAGTTTATTTTGTGCAATAAGGATTCACCATACCCACTGGAGAACCCAGTCTCCTCTCCTGTTGAAGCACAAAGTGACAAGAAACTTACAGGCCAGCTATCACAATTAACAAAAAGACCAGTTTCATCAGGAGTAGTTTCTGCTGAGTGACACAAAGGTGAGACAGCGCAGCGTGAGCGGCTGGATAAGGCTGCCCTCGTGGCAATTAATGTTCTGCATTCCTCTAAAGACTACCTGAGCAAGATACCCCAAGGACAAACAACATTTGCAGGAACTGTCCCTGCAGTAGTTAGGCAAATTGTTGAGTGCAGCATTGTTTATTTCAAGTTAGTGTTAAAAAACTACACAGCTCTACTACACTGGCTTAGGGAACAGAAGTCTTTTCTGCTGCTCTAAGCTTTTTGGAGACGAGTGCATTCACAACATGGGAACACAGGCTTTGCTGACAGCACTGAATGCTGCATTTGTGATTAGGGGCGAGCAGCAGGTAGCAATTCTCTGTACCTACAGACACTGCAGCCCTGGCCTGGGAACAAATCACCCAGGTCCAGGAGGAGCCAGGATGAAAGATGCAGATGATGTTTTGCTGGTGTGACAGCCAGCAGAAAGTCAGCATCCACGTAAGATGCAGGGATTTATCTCCAGTAAAGGAAAGCTGTTTATCTGTTGGGAAAGCCCAGAAAGGATGAACCATGTCTGCACCAGGCAGAAGCCATGTCTATGGCTCTGCATCTGTCATGTCTAGAGCCCTAAGGTCAGCAGCTGTGCTCTGTTCTCTCTGCTGCTTGCAAGCAAAAGTTCTGGTTTTTTCACCTGTATGTACTTGGAAAAGTACCTACCAGCAGGAATCCAAAGCTGGACATCCTAGCAGGAGGAGTTACAAATGCAAGGAAAGCAAACTGAACGCCATGTGGCTCAACTCCTTCCACCTTAATCTGCTGGCTAATAATTAACACCAGGAACAGCACAACATCCCTCTCCCCTCCCAGCCCCTTCCCCTTGTGGCGTGGGAATCTCTCTGGAAAGTCTGACCGGCTGTTTGCTCCCCACCCACAGCAATTAGCATTTGTTCTCCCCAGCACCGACTTAGCCTGGCAGCGATCCCCTTCTGCTGACTGCCCTGCAGCCTTTCCCACACCTCCTCCTGTGCTCACCTGGCTTTTCCCACTGCTCTTTCTGAGCGCTGTGCCACTGCCACGTGGAGCAGGACAGCAACAGCAGGAGTTGAAAGTGGCTCCATGCTGAATTTTGGAAGCTAAGCTTCTTTCCCCCTATTAATTACAGTTTCCCTTTTCCCTTTCCTCTGACCTCCACTGCCTTTGTTTTGTGTTTGCCTTTGTTCAAGCTTTCCTTAGTTGCCATTATCCACGCAGGTTTCTTCCTCAGCCTGGTGCCTGATCCTTTCTCTCAGCATAGTCACCAGGCTCTGGTGATGCCCTCAATGAGGAGCAGCTTGCATTCAGCCCCGCTCTGCCCATTGCACAGTGACATTTGCAACCTCACATCCCACGTGCCGCTGATCGATGATAAGGACAGCTGGGCACGCTGCCCCCAGGCTGGGCAGCCACGCCAGCATCCCAGGTGCTGCACCTGCAGTAAGCACATCTCCAGCTCGCAGCGTCCCTGCAAAGCTTCCAGCGGGGCCTTCTGCTGCTCACAGCCCCTTTGAACAAGTGGCTTTGTGTGGGCACATCTCCTGCACACGCCTCACAGGGGGAGTTTTGGGGGGGGGGGGGGGGGGAATGGCTTTGGGAATAACAGCAGGGCTTGGACCCTCACAGAACTGCCAAGATTCCTGATGGCTTCTCACAGCCCCCCAGATCCCTGCTGGACCCTCACAGCCCTCTCCTTCAGATCCCTGCTGATCCCTCAGCCCACCCCAGATCCCTGCTGACCCTTCAGATCCCTGCTGATCCCTCAGCCCCCCCAGATCCCTGTTGACCCTTCAGATCCCT